ATATTAATTGTGTAGTTCTGCATTAAGCTGAAGAACTATCAATTTCTTGAACCCTCGTCCAATCCCCAACCCAGGAAACTCCGGCAAAAGATCTTTAAAAAAAGAAATCTAATCCCCACCCCCCTCTCCCTATATGCGGTGTATTTGTCATCGATATTATGCATGATTACCATTTTGAGACAATGCGCACCCTGTGATATACTATCCCTCATCTCTTTGTCGTAGAATTTCAAGAGAACCAGCAGTTTGGTTTTATAATGCTGGCCTTATTAAGTTTATAGTCACCTTTGGCCGGCATTAACATATCACTCAATAAGGAAAAACAAAAACAAAAACAAAACATCCTCCCCCCAAAAAAGAACAAGAAAATCCAGGAGCATCAGCATAAGACAATTGCGAAGCATTAAAAACCCAACAAAGTCAGAGATGTTGAAAAAAAAATTGCGGAAGGCAGTTCCTGGAACTTTAAAAGAAAGAAGAATATTAATCCCTTGTTAATTCTTTTACCTAAGAAATTTGGTTTGATCCTAGTATGAAAAGATTGCTATAAGCATAACGGACTTAAATCTCGCCCTTGGACATTGAATTATTACCCAAAAGATCATTAAAGTCTAAACATCCGACCTATATATCCTTCGACCAGATCACCCAGCAGGTATCTGTCTACTTTGCCACACCTTTGACTCACATCCCGACTCATTCTGACGTTATGATCCAGCGCAAACAAAAGATCTGTCCATATTAAATCGCTACTAGCCCTGAATCAAACGCCTAGCCTTCCCCGGTCATCCAGCACCGCCAAGCTTGACATAAAAACGTGCTGGTCAAGTATTCACGGTTATCGGAGGCCTGTGTCTAAGTGAAGCGGGCCCTCAGATCATTGCATAGGGGGATAATCTTTACTGGCGTTCTCGTTTTATCAGCACCGCTCGCCCGGACACATTTGTCGGGTTGAAGTAACGGGATTAAGGCCTTATATGGACTGATACTGATAAAGGTTCCTGGACTAAGATGCAGAATGCGTTGGAAGTGTGTCGGCGACGAGTGAGAAAGTAAAAGCCTGTCTAAGACGAAAGAATTTTGCATGGATAATTTCCGTACTTTAAACTGTTAACAAATAAACATGGGGTGACATGCAGGTAAAGAGAATAATAATTTATCTAAGAAAAAAAAAAAAACAGCTTAGAAAAAAAGAGCGCTCTTTAATGATAGCTGACGATGTCGGTGTAAAAATAGTAACTGTGGTATTAAAACCAGATCAAATTTTCAAGGGACAAAAAAAGGTAAGCACGAGGTAAAAAAAGAATTAAAGAACAGAAAATAGCTATAGCCAGGTAGCAAGTAGCTAGATAGATAATCTGATAGAGGGAGAGGGAGAGAGAAGGGGAGCGGGTAGAGAGAGGGGAGAGAGAGAGGGGGAGAGGGAGAGAGAGGGGGAGCGGGTAGAGAGAGAGAGAGAGAGGGAGAGAGAGGGGGAGAGGGGGAGAGAGAGCAGAGAGAGAAAGAGAGAGAGACAGAGAGAGAGAGCGAGGGAGATAGAGAGAGAGAGAGAGGGAGATAGAGAGAGAGAGAGAGAGAGAGAGAGAGAGAGAGAGAGAGAGAGAGAGAGAGAGAGAGAGAGAGAGAAGAGTACAAACAATAATTCCAGACTCCAAAATCAGCAGTGAGTGAGCATCTCCTCTCTATACTCTGTACTATGTCCCCCTACCCGTTTCCCGCCCTTGACTACGAGCAGAAGCAGTAGCTTCCCCTGCCCCGCGGGTCTGGCAGTCATCTAGTCAAGCGCTCACCCTGGCGCGAACCATAATGTCACCTTTTCCTATTGTAAGCCCGGCTCTGGGAGCTGGCACCCCGCGGAGTCAGACATCCAGGGGAAAATAAACACAAGCCGGCCGCGTCTGATGGGAACATGGAATTGTCTGCCTCTCAGTCTGGCCCGATCCGTCGAAAACAAGGGAGAAAGCGCCAACATAGGCATCAAAAACTGCTAGACAAACGGTGATGGATAGAGTATGCATAGATCTCACTTCACTGTAAATAAATCGTTTAACCCGAGCTTAAAGGGGAGGAGGGGAAAAAAAGCTAAAAAGCTCTTTGAGAGAAGTGAAACACAAGAGACACGGGGACCAAACAATGCGGAACAAGTGACGAACAAAAAAAAATAATAATAAAAACTAAAAAAATAAATGCAGGTTTCGGGTTGCAAAAGCGAACCAGTTCTATTTAATATCAGTTTTGTGAAAGGCTTTTAACTGAGAACTATTGCAGGCTTGAACTCTCAACGCCAACAGATTCGGACTTTTGACTTAGTTTTTATAAAATTAAAAATTTACAATGCATTTTACTGTATACTATATAGAAATTATAATGCACATACACACACAAACACACGCCTATGAAAACACACTGTCATATAATGTAATGTCTTATAATATAATATAATATAATATAATATAATATAATATAATATAATATAATATAATATAATATAATATAATATAATATAATATAATATAATATAATATAATATCATATCATATCATATAATATAATATAATATAATATAATATAATATAATATAATATAATATAATATAATATAATATAATATAATATAATATAACATAATATAATATCATATCATATCATATAATATAATATAATTTAATATAATATAACATAACATAACATAATATCATATCATATATCATATCATATCATATCATATCATATCATATCATATCATATCATATCATATCATATCATATCATATCATATCATATCATACATATGGAGAGAGAGAGAGAGAGAGAGAGAGAGAGAGAGAGAGAGAGAGAGAGAGAGAGAGAGAGAGAGAGAGAGAGAGAGAGAGAGAGAGAGAGAGAGAGAGAGAGAGAGAGAGAGAGAGGGTGTTGCAAAGAGAAGAAGTGAAGGATGAAATATAGCTAAGTATGGAAAGCGGAAGTAGATAGGAACCAAACATAAATTGATCAGTTAACAGAAAGTCAGGCCTACAGATAGATAGAGAGACAGAGGAAAAGTGGGAGGTAAAAGAAAAAAAAAAGGAAAACTGTGATGGGGTGAGCCCTTAGCAAAAGAAAAAGTTACCTCATTCTTTAATTACATTACCAGTACTTTTGGGGGAAAAAACAACGCCAAAAATCCCTTCTCAACTCACGCTTGGACAAAAACTTAATTGTACGTGAAATGTATTTCCTAACCGTAATGAGGCCCGCCCTTATGATGAGAAGATAAAACGGATGCTTATAATTTGAATACAACCCGTTCACTCAATTAAAAGCTGGGGGTATTTCCTGGTAAAATTATTAATACCCTATAGTGAGTGATACGCATCATTAATATCTGGCTCAGGTGCGAGTGTTTAGGGTTATGTATTTTAGAAAATATAATCGTATTTTATGCGTGTGCACAGATCCCTTTAACCGGAATATATGGTTTAAGCAAGTAGATTTTTACACAATAGTATGATATAATGACGCTTTCCTTTTTCTTGAAATAAAACAAAACAAAATACATCCTCTCCTCTCTTTTTTTTCAAGCATGTAAGCAAGAGAATCTGTGCCAGCATACCGCAAGAAGACTAAAAAATACATTTTTAAATAATAAAAAATACTTATATTCGTTAACAACTAGCTCCGATTTTTCTCAGTCTTTTTTTTGACAAGGCTGTTTTTATAAAACCGTTCCTTAAAAAATGTTTTACTTAAAAAAATTAATGTCCCTTTCTTTGGTCAAGAGACTGATAACATTGTTTTGTTATCTATAGAATCTTTATAATATTGCGGTGGTTAAATCTTATAATCTTTGGATAGAACATCTAAATGATCATTTGACTAACAGCGTAAATAGAAAGGATAGGATATTATGATTAGTTCGAGGACATATAAGAAAAAAATGAGGAGTGTGCGCACTTGCACAAGGTGTAATCACCGGTGTGTATGTGTGTGTGTGTTCTAAATTTGTGCCTACTCATATGAATGTAAGTGAGCTAAAGAAGGTGGGAAAGAAAGAAGGAGAGAAAGGAAGAGCGGGGCAGAGGAGATGAGAGAGAGAGAGAGAGAAAGAGAGAGATAGGGAGGGAGAGAGAGA